ATAATAATAAATATTATACTCTGATGTTGTATTAAAAGTAATGTAAAAATGATTAAGAATGATGTAAGCTTTATTCTCTCATTTGTGATCCTGACGGCAAAAATGTGGATTTTTTGGTTCTTCCCTGGGGTGTGCCCGACAGAACCGAGTAATTTGGTGTCCTCTCTTAGGTGCTTAGTGTCTAATGGAAGACAAGCACTCCTGGGAGGCATTAGATTAGACGGTTCTGCCACACGGTCCCAGTCGTAGTGCTAAGGTGACGCTCCTCAGCCTGCCTTGTCCCGCTAGCCGCCATGGAGAGCTCTGCTCGGGTTCGGTCATTTCGAGTTATGTGCGCCGCGCCAACCGCTTGGCCTCATCGCCTGTGTGCGCGAGCTCATGGCCACCACCGACCGAAGTCTAGCCTTAACTTGCTCAGCCTGCGCGAGCTCGTCCAGGTACCCTCCCCGCGACACGACCTCGGCTTGGGCACCGTGCCTCCGTCCTTCGAATTCGCCTAGCCCATGACTCCCCAACTCGCCTCCTCACATCTGTAGGTTGCATAGAGAGCTAGTTAGCTGCCCCAAACTGTGTCTAGCTCAGCAGCGCCCCACGAAGCGCCAATTCGATGTACCGGCGCCGCGGGCCATGTTCACTACCGTGGCCGAGAACTTAGGGAGGAGGTAGGATTGGAGAGGTAATTGTTCGATTGATCGTCACTCGAAGTTCACCTTGATCCTCCTCATCCAGTGCTCATGCTACTCTGGCCAGAGCGCTCGACAAACGAAGGGTGACGCGTCGGCGCCGCGCTTGGAGCGCCGCCGTGCGGTACAGGCGCAAGTGGCCAGCCTGCCCCAGCGCTTCTCGGCTTCAACCGCCCATGGAGCGCACACCTAGGTGAGCTACTGATGCTTCTCCACCACATCCACTCCCCCGTAGGTGTGTAGGCTCATAGGAACGGCCACGCCACCGCCGCAAATGGCCGCTCGCCATTGTAGCTCGCAGTACTGCGTCCCTGAGCTCCTAACCGCCACCTATCTCTATGGGTTTAGCCATAGATTGTGACCGGCCCTTTAGGTAAGCCAACACGAACCCTAGGTGATCGACGTGACTGCCCGGTGCCCGTGCTCGCCGTGCCGCCGTGCATCCTGCTTCGAGGGCGTGAGAGGGGAAATTGGGACAAACCCCGAGTGCCAATGAGAGGTGCAAATAGGGATTGGACTTCGGGTGGATTAATTAGAAATACAGGGTCTTTTTAGCATAAAACGAGCGCACATGAAGCGTTTTCAAATGGGTCGCTGGCTGGGCTAACTTCAGGCTTAACATGCTTGCATGCATCTGTTTGGTCATTGGGCCGCCTCCGATCAATTTACGACTTGGCCTCTTTCTTTTCTAAATTAGTTTCTAATTTAGTTTTTAGGGAAAACTTATAAATTCAATATGTGTAGATATCCAAAAATTGTGAAACTAATTTTGTTAAGTCCTAAAATCATGATCTATCTGCTAATATATTTTGTTCACATAGCTTCGTAGAATTTTCAAGAGTAATCTAATTAATTTGGAGCACTTAATAATGTTAAAACAAAAACTTGTAGTAATTATTGTGATGAATTGGGGATAGTTTTGATTCTGAAATTTTTGTAGTAAATTCCTAACATTAATTAGTGCTCACTGTAATTTTTGTAGCTCCAAAATAATTAGTTTGCTAAGAACTACTATTGAGCCCTGGGTTAAAAATATATTAAATCAATAAAATGAAATAAGGATATATTTGCGAATTTCGTAGCTAAACTACTTATTGGGAATTAATGCCACGTCCGACAACATGGATACGTAGCCTAGTACGTTAGTCGCTAGAATTAACTCGTTAGTTTAGCAGCGTAATTGTATTTTAGAGTTGCTATTGCCGTGATCATTTACGTTTCTACGTTGCATCCACGTATATCATAATAGGAACAACGATGGATAGCGAAAACATCTAGAGTAGCAGAAGCAGATGGTGACGTGATGATCATGCCACCATGATGAACAACTAACGTGGTTATATTTTACCCATGCAAGCCCCGGTGCATAACCCCTATTCTTCTGTACTTTATTTTATGCTTGTGTATTATGTTTTAAGGAGTTGAATGAAATCCACTTATATATATATATATTCTTATCCTATGAGTCTTACTAGTATGATAGGATTGTGTAGATTGCTATGCTACAGGACTTCGATAGAAGTCGAGTGATTGTCTGTCACTCGCGAGAGAAAGAAAATATATTATTGTTACTATTATCATATTACTATCACATAGAATATATATGGATAATAATTGGAGAACAGACGGGACCATACTTTGGATTTGGATTGGACTTGGTTAGGTAACCGAGCGAGGCTTTGGTTGCATTTGTCTCGCCTGTGTCAATTGAGGACCGTCCGTTGCTGTGGATGATAGTCAGGTCACAGACTTATTATCCTGAGCATATACTTGCTTATGGGAGCGGGAAGACTTGTTACTCTCTTGTCATGGGTTCCGGCTCTTTCTGGGCCGACTTTTAGGGGTGGATACTAGGTTGAGGTATAAGTACCATACTGAGACTGGGTCTCAGGTGTTGAGAGCTTGAAGTCCAAGTTTGGACGAGGACCTGGACCCCTTGACAGGAGTGGAACAGGTTGGTCTTGTTTGTGTCTGGGTACAAGCGAGGCATGTGTTTTGGGGTACCCAGCTAGAATACATTGGTTCACGAACCGCCGTGTGATACGATACGACTTGGCTATGGTCTAGCACCGTAGTAAGAACTAAAACATAGAAGGTGATAAAATGGTTCGAATTGCTTACCACCTGCTTGAAAGTAGCATAGGTGCTTACCTAGAATGGTTAGATAATGAACTAATGATGACTGCTAATAAAAATTGAATATAAGAATGCACGTTTAGTAATGCTCCTGCAGATGCAATAAACCCATAAGCCAGATGGTCTTACATATCCTTGGAGTATTTTCTTTCCTCCTGACGGGTAAGTCTTGCTGAGTACAATTAAGTACTCAGGGTTTGTTCTACCCTATTGTAGGTGACAGGTGGATGCTAGAGCCGACACTTGTGTGTGGGAACCTCCTGGTGGGCTCAGCAAGGATTTCCTTAATGTCGCGGACATAGAGTTTATTTGAAACTTCTACCCAAAATGTTTTACAATGAAAAACTTATAACCTATTATGATGTATATAACGGATCATAATATTAATGTTTAACTTGTCATTAAATGATTTTATTTCTGCTGAAACTCTGATAACATGATTATATTCTGCTGTTATAAAAAATAAATATTATACTCTGATGTTGCATGAAAAGTGATGTAAGAAATGGCTAAAATGTTGTAAGCTTTATTCTCCCATTTATGATCCTGTTGAAAAATATGAATTTTTCGAGTTCTCCTATAGGGTGTGCTCGACAAAACTGTTTAAATTAGCTCACTCTTGATATGTTTAGTGTCTAATGAAAGACAAACACCTCCGGAAGTGAGTTATTTTAGACGATTCTGCCACAGTATCATCCATGCAACCATATATGCATGGAATTTGGCTCAACTGTTTGCGGGCCGCATGCATATACATGCATGCATGGCAAGCAAATTAGAGACGTGATCATGTACGTGAAGTGGATTTGGGGCCAGGGAGCCCGATTATGTACGCTCAGCCGTGCGTGATGCCGCGAAGTGGAGATGGGGCCTCGAAGCACGTGGAAGATGGGGCGGGGCGACGGACAGGACGCGAGATGGGGCGGTCGTCACGCAGACACCTTACCCGTTTTTGTTTTGAGCCGGAGAGTCCTTAATGACGCCGGAGCCAAGTAGGAGACTTCCTTCGTGAGACTGATCAGGAGCGCGCATACGAAAGTCCCGTGGACGAAACCTTCTCTCTCTCTCGGTGGTAATAGATAAATAGAAATAGAGAAGAGAACGCACGCTACGACATAATATAGCATTGTTATAGGTGAACATGTACTGTCACCTGCATTTTATCAAGACAAACATTATGCTCTAAATTATAAGACACTTTGCTTTGTTTTTATATACGTGGTTTTGGCTACATTTTATACTTAAATATATGCATTATGTCTAAAACATAGCAAAATCAATATATTTAAAAAAATCCAAAACGTTTTATAATTTGGAATAGAGAAAGTAAGTAACACACACAATTTGTCAACCACCGGACACTCAAAATCGATGGTCTATATTTCTACGTGGCTAGAAAAACTTGTTTGGCCAAGCAACCAAAAACATGCTCTCAGTGACTAATCGAGAACCACGTTTGGCTACGTCGATAGCCTGACGTTAATGTAGGACGATGAGCAACGCGACGTTAACCTAAGATGGAACGGAAACCGGTGGGCAACTTAAGAAAGACGATAGATACCAAGGAGTTCTTTCCCCGAAAGAGTCCTGTCCATGTAGTCAGCCACCTACGCATATAATAACAACATTTCATTTTTTAAAATTCAATCTTGCAGTTGGTACTCAGGGTTACATACTCTTACACGGAAAAGCCTCTTCGTGTAGTTACCTCCGCATTGTTTTTTTGTTTCTTCTATATATTTATGAATAAAAATCAACCTTCATAATGTCTAGCATATTCTTGAGCCATCGTATTCGTATCGATCCTCCCACCGGTTTCATCAACAACTAAAACCAGGGTAGCTACAGGTCAACACGTCCAGTTTGGAAACTATCACCAACGCTTGCGATGACAAATGTAGCTGGGACCTAATTTTGTTGAACCTACTCTTGCAACCCTAGTTTTTTCTGCCCTTCCACTCATAACCAATACAATATACAACATTACAACGAAAAAAAAACGAGCTTGTGCTATCAGTATTATTATGAGATATATATAGGTAGGAACAGTTCTTCTATCATACAACAACACGAATTCATTTGGTTAAATAGACTATAACATAGGATTACCAAATGTCTCTTACCTAGCATATCAAAACCTTGGGCATACAAGTTTTCTACCACATAAACCGTTTCTCTACATCATCTGTATTCAGCCGAGGAAGCCCTGGGTTTGCCGCCGTTCGACGAGTTGAGGTGCAGAGACACGAATATCACGCCGATCACAACTATCAGGCACCCCACGAGCGTGCTGAAGAAAAGAGCCCCGGGCTGCCTTGTCTGCACGAATCCATATATTCCACCGGATGTTACCAGAATGATGTCAGTGAGACCGTCACCAGAGAAATCCTCCAGGAGCAGCGCGTGAGTGGGAGGCGCTGGGAGCTCGATCATGGCCAATATGCTACCAGAAGGAGAGAGCACAACGGCTTCCTGGTCGCCACCGGCGATGATCACCTCTTTCAGGTCATAGGCGCGCAGGGAGAAAGCCTTCAAGGTAGGCACCACTATGTTCTCCATCATTCCCGATGGAGATGGGAGGTTGGACCATGTTGCCCCTGATGATACTTGCCATCTCCATACTGCATCGTGGCCAAGCAGCCCAGGGGAGTACGAAGTCACCTACAATCACAAACACATCATCAATGTTTGCGGATATAGGGATCAAGGTTTCATCAACATGCAAAACCCCCCCACAAATCGGTAGTCACAGCAACTTGTAAAAAGGAATACTCAGTCTACAAATGCTGACCTCTCCCCGGCTTGTCAAAAAGATGATATCGCCGTGGCTTCCTCTCCTGTGTTTATGGCCATCGTCTGTCTGGACCAGGATAGGAGTCGCGACCTCTAAACCAGTTGTATCAAATGTCCTCCCAAAACTTCTCGAGAAGTCTCCATGATGGAACATATTAAAATGGTTGTAATGGCAGATAGAGACGTTAAAAAGTTGCTCCCGCACTGGCACACCAGATGTAGCAACTGCCCAACAGGGTTTCAGCACCTCCATTGATCCACTCACGACAGTCTGCTCTTTAATACCATTTCCACCAACAACCTACAGAAAAAGATCACTATCAGCCATTACTTCTACGAGTGGATGCCCCCAACAATAAACAAAACATTGTTGCAGTTGCAGCTAGCAAGTGTGAAACAAATGCTCAGCCCAATGTATGTCAATCTCAGCAGAGGAGATCACCTTAAAAGTAACAAGAACCAAATATGTAAAAGATACTAAAACAGCTCTAAGTTGGGTCCCTAATGGCACATGTTAATTCTGTCATTCCTAAAATCAAGTTTTAGACATCAAATTTACAGTGAACAAAATGTCTGATACTTCAATTTTTAGCTTAGGAAATTCCTGTACCATTATATTAAGGCATGCACAATTTTTGCACATTACACATGAGATATACAAGATAACAATAGAATCCACATCCAAGAAATACAAATCATTTGAAGTCATTTTATGACATACTGGGATAAAACGATATAAAAGTAAATCAAACTATAAGGATAGATAGAGAGGAGTACTTCTCCTTCGAGAAGGATTTAATTTGAATCCCTAAAGCACTCGAAGTCATTTGCTTAATGGTTGCATAAACATCTATATACAGGAGACCATAGTCTTATGAGAACAGTACTCAATGGATCCAGACATCCCAAATTATTCTCAAATTTATGGACAGAAAATATGAATTACATCCATATTTCAACTGCCCAGAGCCACCAAAGAAAAAGTCGGTACATAAAGGAAAGTAATTCCAGTGTAAATAGACTCCTAACGCACCTGGACATGATCCAGAACTCCATCTCCATTAATATCTGCATGAAGGCCTCCTTCGGTCAAATGAAGCTGGAAATGAGAATAATTTCAAAAAAAAAGGCAGGTGATATACTGTTGGTTGCATCGAATTAAAGTAAAATAAAATTACAGGGACATATCCTGTAGACCTTGCATATTGTACGTCCAGAAGCTAGATGGACAGCCTCTATCCCTTCCTTTTCATGTGCAACAACAACATTAGGAACCCACCAAACTTGAGTATGATTAGTGATTGTCGGAACATACTGCATCCTCTGTGCCTGCAGTAAAAGAAACAAGCTTCACCTCAGTAGAAAGCCATGAGGTGTTTGACTTCATTCTGTGTGAGCACTGTAAGCTATTTGGACAAATTAACAACAGAAGTGCAACAAACAGACAACACGCAGTATGTGTGCACCGCAAGGATGCAAGGCTATCCATGATGCTTCAGGGAGATGACTGCAATCTTTGCTAGAAGACACGGCAAATTCTGAAATGTAATAGCCATGCTTATGCGTCATACCTTCCTGGCTTTATTTGAGCTAGCCATATCTGCAGCCTTCCCAAGTGCTCTAGCTATTCTATTGGAAGCATCCTTCCCAGGTGGATTGTATTCAATGGGCTTGTTCACGGTATTAATAACAGCCTTTCCAGGCGTTTTCTTAACTTGTTTCCTTTTATGCTTCCTAAAATGTGCAAGTTGTAGGGTAGTATCCTCTCTCCTATCCTGAAAAGGGGGGCTCATACCTGAGCTCAACAGTTCCATGAAAGCTAAATACAAGAAAACAAGTACTATTCTTACCCAATGATGAGGCATGACGCCAAGGATTGATTCTCTGAATTCACGACATTCAAACTGAAAATTAACATGTGACAGGTTAGTTTCCAACTAGCCAAAATGCCACTGTGTGAACTAAATGCTTAGCATCTGCCTGGGTCAAAAAAATAAGCTAGAATAGCACATTTGACATGTATATTCTCACATCAAACCACAAATAGGAAGCGAACTTCATTAGGACATGCTACCTTTCAAGTCCAAACGTAACACACTTTTAGTTTAGAACAGTGTTGCCATTAAGAAGTGTGCAGATAAGTAAGAAATTCAGGTCATGATAGCTACAGGTGCCAAGCAAGAATAAAGTGATGGCAACATTATATTCCAGACTTCCTGTTGATCATACTGAAGAATTCAGGTAAACACAAACTTTGTCAGAGGACAACCCATGAGAAAATACTTAAACCAAACAACAAAGAGCATGTGGAAACATTGAAACAAGACTTGCTCAAAGATAAGCACTGCTCCTAGTTATTTGCTATTAAGATTGGAGAACACAGTCTTCACCTGACCAGGTTGATGACTATTGAGGGCATGAACATCAAGTTTGTAATTGTGCTGTGGTAACATCACAGAAGCATCTGATGGCTGTGACTGGATGTTCTGCAATGCCAAAAGACGAGCATCTTTTACTACAGTGGAGGCAAAAAAATGAAATAAAATGAGAAGTTGAATTCAGTGCACCTCATTCTTCCGGTTCCATCTACGGTCGCCACTACGTCCAGCAAAGGCATAAAGGGCAAAATGGCGCAGGTCCGCATTGCCAGTCTCTGAGCCCTGCATGCAGCGCCAACACAGGGTTAGGTGTTGATCAGTTAATCATGCAAGGAGCTTGTAGCCTTGTAGGGTATAGAATACACTAACAAGATGAAAAGATAAAAGCACAGGGCACAGCAATATAATAACCTGTTTCTCATTGGCGCTTCTACGGTGGTCATCCGTGTTGTGTTCTGGTATCATAAATTCATCGAAGAGATCTGCTGACTGATAAGAGAATGAATTAATACAAGGGCAAGTTGTTGGCAACATAGATGTAATGTAGGCAAACAGATAGGCAGGTGGAGATAGTAGTGCAAAGAGAGAGTTATAACATGAACATACATGATGCTGCATCTCCATCCTTCCTCCAACGATGACGAGGCCTGCATCTCCATGCTTGAGAGTGTAGTTGGTAATGGAGATTGCAACCTCGCGGTGGTGGGCGGCGTGAGGGAAGTCGTCCTGGAGGTTGTGCTCCCACAGCTTCTTGAGGTTGTGATCGAAGCACATGACGGACCACCCGGAGGTGACGACGACGAGGACCTGCTTCCTGACTTCGCCGGCCCTGTAGGAGCGGTCGACGTTGCCGACGGCCATGGCGATGGGTCGCCTCCCCGAGGCGAGGCGGACGTTGTCGGGGAGGAGGGAGATGTCGGCCATGACGCGGGCCTCGTGGAAGGCGGAGTCATCGCTGAGGTGGCGGGCGTGGGGCGGCTGGAGGACCTGGATCTTGGCGTCGTGGGTGGGGAGGAGGACCTCGGGCTTGCCGTCGCCGTTGAGGTCGGCGACGAGCGGCGGGGGCAGGCGGTCGGCCTCGTACTTGATGGGGAAGTCCTCGTCGGTGAGGTGGTACCAGGACTCCCGGAAGGAGAAGTCGCCCTCGTGGTGGAGGGAGAAGAAGACGGCGAAGGCGGCGAGCAGCAGGATGCCCAGATCCCGCTTCCGCATCGTCGTCGAGATCAGAACCAGGTCAAGTCGATGGGGATCGGATGAAATGAAGCACCCCTAATCCAATCCGATCCAAACCAATCGAGGGGAGACGAAAACCTAGTAGAGACCGAATCCCATCTAGAAGATGCTGGAGCTGCTGTTGTCCCTCGCTTCGTCTTCTTCCTCTCGGCAGACGACGAGGGCGGCGAGCGAGACCCTGCTGCCGCCGCTCCGCCTCAGCCTGCTCCTGAACTTACAGCAGGCCGGGCTGGGTATCGAATGGGCTTTATCGGTCAATCCGGGGCGGGCCACATACATAATGGGCTTTTCTTGTCACTGTACTGTCAGAACAAGCCTTTTCCTTTACACACACTGTCAGTGTCAGGACAAGCTTAGCAAAGCCTTGTTTAGATTGAAAAAAATTTCAACCCGATGAATAGTAGCACTTTCGCCTTATTTAGTAAATATTGTCCAATCGTGGATCAACTAAGCTCAAAAGATTCATCTCGTGATTTCCAACTAAACTGTGTAATTAGTTATTTTTTTTACCTATATTTAATGCTCCATGCAAATGGCTAAAAATTAATGTGATGGAGAGAGAGTGAAAAAACTTGGAATTTTGAGAGTATCTAAACAAGGCCCAAGCAACAAGGGAATGGAATGTGCATCATGCCCAGCCAAACCCTAGACATCCAATCTTGACAATTAATCGATATATAGTAGTATATACAAATAGAATGAAGGGAACCATGTATGCCAAGCCAATGCCATACTGGATACTACACCCAGAGAGAGATGGGTGAAAGTTTCATCCAATACAGTGTGGACTGGACTCTACAGTCTCCACCCCCAAGAAACACACCCTGCTTCTGTCCAATTCAGAGATAGACAGCTACAATCTCGGTAAGTTGAATGACACTCAAAACATTGTTTATGTACATATACAGAATCCATTGATAAATAAAGAGAGCGGCAACCTCGGTGCGGTAACACAAAAATATGCCGTGCCATCCTCTTAATTTGACAAAAAATACAGACCTCATACTATTTCTTTCTGACTCATGGAATTCAGATAGACAAGGAGGTACATGGTACAAGACAATAATAATGGGAAACTGCTCTAGGCTATGTATGTAAGATTCCTCATTAAATAACTGCACAAGTGTGTATATCATGTATGTCACTATACAACTCTAGCAGAACAGATATTTCGAGGGAAAATTACAGCACTGTTTGAAGTCCCTGGTTAGTTTCACCTTCTTCATCAGCTCCTTGTATCGATGATAATGTTTCTGCTACTTCTTTTGTCTCATGAGGATAAAATTATGGTGTGTGTAACTCATCATCCTATAACCACATCATCCTATAACAAACCAACTGTTTTTGACATGAAGCAGGGCCCACATGTAGCTCTCAGACAAGATGGCCTCCGCTTCTCTACTGCTGTGACTGGCCACTGGCCAACTTTGTTATCAGATGTGTCACACTCTGCTCTCAAAGTAATCAAGAATCGAAAGGATCCCTCCATCCTTCATCTTCCCTTACCGCCCTGTTCCACCGCTCTTTGAACCTCTCTAGCTCAGCCGATGATTGTCTTCGTATCTATTAAAGCAACAGTTAGTACAATGGCAACTTTTAATCCTTGATCCAGGAAGACGAAAATGCCACAGATTATACTCACATGGGTCCTCAAATCCAATGATCTTCGAGGTGTCTGCGACAACAAGATGTCAGTAGTGGCACATGTAAATTTTATTATTGCACAATCATGACAGTTACTATCATGCAGGTATATGCCAACTAGGGTAAAAGGAAAACACAACAAGGCAAAATGGATGCTCTGGCAGGAATCAGTACACTTTGTCCTTGGTTCCTACTGGACTACACCAAATTTCTTTAAAAAAACAGTTTGTTGCGAGAAGTACCTTGCTGCTAAGCGATGGCCCTCCTAAAGATGGTATCCCTTGATGAACAACATACTCACTGTCAATTACACCAACTTTCTCAGTTCGATCACCCTGAAATATCATGTGACTGTGTCAATCACCCTGAAATATCATGTCCGCGCTCCATCTTGTTTAACAAAGGACATGGTAGCTGAAATAGCATGCCTCAATAGTCAATAGACTCCCATTAAATATCTTTTAAGATTGTTAACATATCTTGAGTACCTGAGCACAATAGCCAAGCTTCATGTCAAGGCCCCATCCATGAATCAGATCGTTCTGCGACCCAAGAGATTAAACAAGTGTATTGATTATTAAAATTCATGACCTTCCACTCACACTTAATAAAATCAGACAATGACTCGCACTGACCACTTTATTATCACAATCATCTTTTTTTTAAAAAAAACAGGTTAGAGGAATAGTATTTGCACCTGAATTAGATGCCATACGCATTTCCAAGCAGCGCGAGAAAAAACTGGTGCCATGCCCTCTACCCACCTATTCAAGAATGCAAATCAAACCTCTTTAAATGTTTGAAAGAGTGTGGTGGAATAGTTCATAAGATAATGGGTCAAGAATAAGTCAGCTGCATGATGTGATTTTGCTTCATATAAATCAAATGTCCAAAACATATAATCCAACAATGTTCTCTTTTGGGACTAACATAAATAGGAATATACTATCTCAATGTGAAGCAATAATTTTTAGAGTATCTTCCAGATAAAGCAACTGCATAAGGATAAAGGTTTGATCCATACCCTGTACAAGGAGGTCCTTTGCTCTCATCAGAACAATTCATACTCGGCCGATTGTCATATATTCTCCTACATAAAAAGTGAAAAGGTGCTTCTTAGAGAATAGAAAGATTTTTAAAAAGAAACAGAAAGTTTTTTTTTTTGAAAATTAGAAAGACAGAAGCACCTGTGAACTTTTGACATCTTATTGCGGATTGTGATCCGATGGTGGATATCGGTTGATAGATCAGGGTCCAGAGCAGGTTGTGTTATTTCTAAGCCTTCGGAAACCATTATATCAAGATATCTAGGACCAAACAACACGAGAGATGAGGAAGCGTCTTTGAACAGAAAAAACAAATTAATCACAGATGTATTCCCAGAAAACTTCTACAATCGAAAGGAAGTGAATGATATTATTGCTCAAAGTTCTTACTCAATTTCCATCTGAATAAATCCCACTAAACAGTAACACAAAAAAGGGCTCAAACTGACTAAGCTCATCTCCATTCAAATAAATATTATCCGACTAATGCTTGATAGCTACCAGGCCATAGCAAAAAAGAGTATGAGAATCAATTAATGGATCTGCTCTGGAAATGGCTGATGACAATATGTTAAGTTTGGGTTCCACTGTGAGCACTGAGTAATATGGCTGACTAGAGGAAAAGGATTATGACCATCATGCATACCTTCTTGGGTTGAAGTTTTCCACTCCAAGGTCTTCATCCCATAGAAAGATGAAATCATAGATAGCCATGACATCAGGATGCAAAAAACGCTTAGCAAACCACCTGCAGAAGGAATATTTGTTCATTCTTCTGAGATGTGGCAGAATATGATGGAAGACAAACAGCTGCACATAAGGATTATCAAAGATGCAGCTACCATATACTCTAACAGAACAATGTGCTTTCATAAAGTTTACCATTTTGTTTGGTTGTGAGCAAGGATGTGTATGGCCTTTTCACTCCACTCAAGATGACGCCATCCATCTACATTCCCATCATAATGGAAGAGCATGACTGCATAGTTTTCCTTCAGAAACTAAAGAAAGCAAACGATGACAGATCGTATTAAGTGAAACTCTCTTCTCTTTTACTGAACAACACAGACAGCTAAGGGTAAGGGAAAGGATAACCTGAGAGAAGCACAGACCTTACGAGCCATAGTGTCAACGTTTTTTATTTGGGAGATGCCGACTGCCATGGCGAGGAGAGCACTGTAGTCACCATTTTTATTCTGCGTGTAAAGGGGAGTATGATGGCAAATGAAGTAGCTGAATTTGTTTTGGAGAAGAATAGTAACTTGATAGGCAGAACAGATAACAAGATGTGACAACAACTAATAGTCGAACGAGTAACCGGCACATTATATTATATACAGCACCTACAAGGATGGACTAGATCTTTAGCTGAGAATGGTTTGGACAGCATCAAGTAGTTAATGACGATAGCGGTGACTTAACCACCAGCTTCAGCTTCTACCGGTGCCCTATCGTCTTCCACTGTTTATTTGCGATTGACCAACCACACCATTACCGTTGTCAATTCAGTTATGCACGTGTAAATAAAGGGGGTACAGCAATCATCAGCAAAGAAGTGGCCTAATAACTAAGGGCAGGGGTGACGGGTGAGTAAAAATGGGGATTCCTGGCATGAACAGTTGTGCTGTGAAAGCCATAACACGTACAGTATACATAAAAGGGCTACCCAGTGCAGAGAGCTCCCGCTCTGTGCGGGTCTGGGAAAGGGTGTCAGTGGCAAGAATTACCCTCGCCTTGTGCAATGCGAGGAGACCGCGACTCGAACCCGGGACGTTCCGGTCGCAGGCGGTAGGACTATACCGCTTGCACCAGCCCCGCCCTTCACCTACAGTATACATACATCGCAGAAAAGAAGCAGCTTTGCAAGTAGCAATAATAATTCATCGCGAGCGAGCGCGCGGAGCGTGAACTGGTTGAAGCAGTGGGAACTGGGAAGAGGCTGGCAGTGAGTGAGAAACTAGAACCAGAAAGCGAAAGGCTGTAGTAGTACCTTGTGGGTGGAAGCAGGATCGTCCTCCCAGAGCGGGCGGAGGGACATGTCGGAGTGGCGCTGGACAATCCCGCGCGGCAAGGAGTCGGCGCCGGTGGCTGCCTTCCTGATCCTGGCGGTCCCCCAGCGAATGCGATTGCGGCTGGGGATCGCGTTATTCTCTTGCGTGGCAGAGGCAAAGCCGGCCTTGCCAAGATCCACCTGAAGAAGATAAGATAGACCAGCATGTGTATCCGGGTTGAGAGCAGCGTCCACAGAGCACCCGCGTGTGAAGAAGAAATAAGGGAGGGAGGGAGGGAGAAGAGAGCTAAAAATGGAAAGAACAGGCGGGGACGGAGGAGGGAGGGAGGGAGGGCGACCTTGAGGTGCTGGTACTGGATCTGGAGGCAGGCGAGGAGGACGAGCGCGACGACCGCCGCCACGACCCCCCAGCGGCGCGGCGGCGGCGGCGGCTGGTGCTTCATGTGGCCAAGGCCGGGGCCGGCGCGGCGGCGGCGGCGGCGGAGACCGGGGCGAGCTTCGAGGATGGCAAGGGCTGGGCTTGAAGAAGGAAAGGAAGAGGAAGGTGGCGCTCCGGCTCCGCTCAGGGTAGGGGGACTGACTAAGGACGAGGAGGAAGAAGACGGTGAAGGGAGCACAACAACCCCCACTACCCTTTTTTTTTCCTGTCCGCCAAATTTGCGCTTTCGGTGCGGCCGCCGGTCGGTCTGTGAAAATAACCAACCAAACCAAACCAAACCCCACTCTGCCAAACAAGTGCCCAAACAATACTAGTACGCACTGTACCCAACAACAGCGTCATCATTTCTTTCCTTGTTATTTTCTTCGCGATCGAGCCATTCACCCGTTATTTCTTTCCTTGTTATATTCAGAAGATTTAGAGGAAAAGGAGGGAAACCAATCACTGCCTACCACTACCATATATCCATGCTAGTACGAGTACCTTCTTTAGGCAAAACCGCACAAGGGGGAAAAAATTAGGCTACTAATTTTTTATAGAGATCTACGATCCTATCCTTCTAACTCACAATTTTCTCTCAAAAAAATAGCAATGCAGATAATATGAGGGAGGAACTCATCATCCATACCCCATTCGGCTCACGACAAGTCTTGTTCAGGTACTATATTAGAGCATCTTCACCAAATCTCTTATACCCTCTGTGTCTTAAATAGGAAATTTAACAGCTCAACATATCTCTTGTCCCGTCTTCTAAATCCACCACTATCTCTCCTAAGTCCTAAAGAAAGAGGAGACCTCTCTCTCTCCTAAATCAGAATGATATTTTGGGAATCTGCTAGAGCAAAGGTCTCTTATATCCTATATATAAAGTTACTTCCGGTGAAGACGCTCTTATGTTGCATATATACTCACCGCCATGTTTGTATAGACCTCACGTTTCTACTAAAGGATAGACAGAATATTTCGTTATTACTTGCTCCATCACCTTTTGCAAACCTAGTTACAGGCTAATGCAAGAAACTTGGCAGCTCATATATGTATTTCCTACACATATAATGTTATATAAAAGAACCATAAGGGCAATGAAGCTTTTTCCCAATTGGTTCTTCATATCATTACCTTACTTTATCTACCAAACATACGTGAGACTCAAAAGCTAAGCGAGTAGATTTTGATAAAATGGTAGCGTTACAGTTCAATAACATTGTTAATCAATCATCAAATATACTGAGCCGGCTAGCTTATCCCAATCCCATTCCCAAACCGTACAGATCTTACAGAGAGTAGCATATTCCAGTGAAAATTAACTCGTACAGTACTCTAAAGCGACAATGCCCTTTGAGCGCTGCGTCACGAATGAACCCGACCTCTTGGTTGGAGCAAAAGAGGTCGAGATGCCACAGTCAGACACACGGAACGGAAGGGCCAACTGTCAGAGCGCAACAACTAAACCATAGTACAACCATATTTGGAACAGCTACACTGTGCTTCAAATGTCTGCAAAAAAACAAGCAGCAGCAAATCCAACAAGCAACAATCCAGCCGAGCCAAGGGAACAGATGTTAACGTACTAGTAGCGTACAAAATTCACAGTACAGCCAGGTGACGTTCGCTCGCAAGATCGACGCGAGGATCCTAATACAACACACCATACAACCACCCCTGCAGACCTATATATATCACCCTTAAAACTTGAATTCTTTCTTCTTCGACTTGCCTTCCTTCTCTTGCTTCCGCTTCCTCTTGTGAGCATTCTACAAAAAGTCAAGTGTCCATGATGCCCACTCGTCAATCAGCCAGCTATTGAAATCAAAACATAAAAGAAATCACTGGGTCACAGAATAGTACATACCTCCGCCACCATGTCACTGAAGTCCTCCTTTTGGTTGCGAAGCTTCTCTTCCTCTCGCGCTTCTTCATACCTGTTGCATTATCGGATGAGGATAATTCATTACCGTTTTGACTTGGAAGAAGAAAAAAAAAGCAACCAACAATATCAACTGAACAAAGACATCAGGCGGAGTGATCCTTACTTGGCTGCCAGAACATCATCCATGGCTTCCAGTTCCTCGGGTTGGATGGTGACGTCCACCTTGTCTGACTTTTGATTCTTAAGCAGATCCACCTGCCACCAAATTTAACAGAAGTTATAAAAAGATCAATTATCAAATATCAGGGAAACGACCTAGTTCCAAAGAGCACCCAAAGGAGCTCCAACACTCACCCTTTTCGGAGCTGATGATTTATCTTGTGTTCCCAGCACATACCTGTAAAGCGAGCACACACGGCATGAGATACAAAACCAAGGGGGGACATGCAAGAGGTATTAGGGTTAGGGAGACATACGTATGGCTTGACCCATATAGTGTCCCAGGGGCGATCCTTTCTTCCTTTTGTTCAAGAACCTTCAGGAGCCAAGGAAGGAACATCAGCAACGAATACTAACAAAGATACCACAAACATTTACTTACCTGGTACAGTGGCCGTTCTGCCTGCTTCTCAGTCTCCTTCCTCTGCAGCTTCCGAAGGTCGATAACATCAGGTGTTTCAACACCAGTTGGAGTACTGGTTGGAGGCAAAAAAAAAAAGTTAGGCACACATGTCTACTGCATCTGCATCACTAAAGAAACGGAAAACCAAGGGCCTACAAAACACTAAAGAAAGAAATATAGTAAATCACCTTGAGATAGTATCGACAGACTGAATTCCGTCTTCCATTTCCTCGTCTTCCATTGGTTCTTCCTCTTCCTCCTCCTCTTCCTCTTCTTCCTCCTCCTCTTCCTCCAAATCTCCCCAGTGTTTGCTGCGATCAACAGGTTCATCCTTCAAGGTTGAAGAAAACAAATAAGTTCTGCTTCTAAATTGGCTCTGAACTCTGCAGTATTTACCCACTAAAACGTAAAGTGAAACATACATCGTAGTTAGGTTCGTCCTGCTGCAGAACACCAAAAACGTCTCCATAGAGTGGACGTCCATGCTGTTTGCAAGAAACAATACAAGAGCTTAGGAAAGGAACCTTGAGTACATCTAGACAGTGTAAAAGCAAGGTTTCCAACTTTCAATAGAAAACATACCTCATCAACTGGTGGCTTTCCCCACTCCCCTGGTCTATAACCAAAACTGGCACCAGGGGGATTGGGGCATTTAGACCTGGGATCTTCAGTTGGGGATAAGATGGAGGTGGACCATAGCGCTGAAACATTATACAACGATTTAAGTTAGCCAGTAACAAAGGCATTATCAATAGGAGACCAGCTGAATTCAGGTTAAAAGAACAAACCTGCATGTTTATAAGCCATGGGGGAGGGGCACCATCAGGCATACCAAGAGCATCTTTAAGCTCACGAGACAGCATGCCTGGCTTCATTTCCCTCAGTTTAACCTGTTGAATGAAGTAGAAGTTAAGAACATGGTGTTATCACACCAAAATCATACATTGACATCTGGTTGCAGTTATAACGCAAAAAACATGCGTACCTCAAATTCTTTGCCTTCATAATATAGATCACCATGACTAGACAACTTGGGTTTTGTCTGATATTTGAAGAACGCATCATGCAAAACCTGCCAAGAACAAATTTATTGTTAGACAATCCATCTGTGTGACAGCCATCTCAAGACCAGGTAACTAGCCAAATCTAGGGCACAAATATACTTCATGAAACAGCAACACCAGTAATTGCTAGTAATCTGAAAAACTATGATGAACTGGTCACGACCTTAAGACAAGGAATCAAGATCAGATGTGGAGGCATGACAACAACAAGATATCATTAGAATATATGACAAAGGAAGAGAGTACAAAGTAGACATATGTCTGCTCCTGGTCCTACTCCTATAGATGCACACAAGCCACAAACTACTTCACATTTCACGCTTTGTGGGTGGAAAGAAGTTTACCTGATAATCTATATCCATTTTGCCCATTTTGGGCTGCATACGCTCCCGCTGTTTCTGTTTCAACTTCTTGCTATCCTCTTTCTCAATATAAGCCTGTGTATACATTTAGAAATCCATTAAGCGGTTCATGTTCATGGCACCAAACTGGTATGAATAGTTCTGCAGTGTTCCCCCAAGAAAAAGTTTGAATAAGCAGAGAGGGAAGTAAATTACTGAGATACCATAAGCAAGTTACCTGTCTTATCTTTTCTATTCCAGTTGCAGCAATGAAGTCAGGAAGCTGGAAAGGCTGTTTCTCAATACCTCTCTTCCCCTGAAACAACAAGATAACATTGTAAATTGAATAAGAAACGTTATAACTAACAGATGAATAAGAAAATATTGGTGTCTTAAATATGTAGACTTCAGTAACATTTGCAAAAAAAAAAAAACTTGTATTTGTGGTGTGAATTAATATTTAAGGCCATTGACTCTAGCTGGACCTTAATCTATTCCATTCCAATGAAGAGGGCCTCATGTGAAATAAACTAGTTTCAATGATCCAATATATAGACTACAGAACCCACTCAAGTATTGCACCAGCAAGCCCAGCCGCCCCAGTTGTTACAGCCATCCCTGAAAGAATTAGGTATCTGTATAAGAGGTGAGAAACCATATGGAGTTATGGACATTTCACTCCCACACCCCCACACCATCAATGACTCGCTGAGAAGAGAATGCAAACACGATATGTATGTATACTGACTAATTTCACCAAATATAAGCACCCATATATTCAAACCAAATAGATGTGTTGAAACTTGAAAGTCACAAACCTGCAAGAACTTGCGCTTTTGAGACCAGTGTCTAGGGACAGGTACTGTATTTCTGTATGCCTTGAGATATACAAGCAATTTTGGATCTGCAGCAGTTGCATCCCAGACCTGGAATTGAAAAAAAAAACAAAAGAAATATGATATGAATATTGATGATCTATACGTAATGGATTTTTATCAGCAAAAATGAAACTGCTGGCTGTGGGTTCACTCGATTGGAAAGAAGAGTGCACCTCTACAACGTCAGGTCTGTTGCATATCTGTTTGAGTTCTGCAATCTTCATGCGGC